GCCGGGGGAGGCGGCAAAGGGGGTGGTGGAAAGCGTTAGGGACGGGCTTAAGGTAAGGGGGGGTGCGATTGGTGTCGCCCGGCTTGACTACGAGGTGGTGGTGTGCTCGTTCTGACCTCTGAATATGTGTTCTTGGCAGTGCTGGCTTTGCCAGCTCTTCTCTCTGCACAGCAAGCATCGCCGGTTGCGCCGGGCATGCTGCCGCGCGGCAATGCATGCATCCGCCACACTCGCGCCCAAGTTTTCCCCCAACCCACGCACCGCTCTGCCCCCTCAATATCACGCCCGCGCCCGACAGTCCCTGGCGGCGGCCGCCCTTGGTCGCAACGACGACGGCACACCCGGTGAGGCGTGAAGCCAAAGGACGGCACCCCGTCGCCCTATATGCCCCCGTCACATCACCCGATATGTTGGCCAGTTTGCGCAGATTTAATCTGTTGCCATACCCGATGCCGGCGTTGTTGCTGCTGCGCCCGGCGGGGGGGGGGGCACCCTGCATTGAGGCTTGAATTTCACTGTTGTGCACGAAGTCCTTGCCTCTTGGCGTGCGCTGGTAGCTGGCGCGAGGTCGGCCCACCCGCCAACACCTGTGCATTCCCCTCAGCCCCCTGCCGACCAACCGCCAACACATGCTGATCCCCACAGGCGATGTCGTTGCGGCGGAGGCGCAGGCCGCGGCAGGGATTGAGGCTGCGCGCTCAAAGGGCGAGGGCGAGGCTGCGGGTGAGTTTCATATTCGTCCTTTTGTGCATTGTGTGTCTGTTGGGATGGTTGGCGGTTTTGATGGGGTAGGTGATGCTTGGGTGGGATGGCTGGCAGTGTTTACTGAGCAGGGTATGGAGTTGTCGATGGGGTGATACTCATGACTGAGCTCCCCATGCGTGTCACCCAATAAACAAGGGAGGGCTTGGTTTTGATTTCACTGAGATCGAGACAATCACCTCAGCCCCGAAGCTGTAGTGCGTAGACGGGCACAGCCCCGGGCGCCTCGGCTGGGGGTCAGGGCGACGCCCATGTGCAGCGGGACCCGCCCTTCCTATGCCGAGCCTCACCTTGATGCCTGCGTGCTGCTGCGGTTTGCTTGGGCGGGACCGCCCACGCCTTCTGTGAGGCCCCAACCTTCGTTTCCCCCTTTCGTTGCACCCGCTCTTCCCGCACGCGTTGTTGGCTGCGCCTTGCTATCCTGCCTTTGTGCACGGCGCCTCTCCTCCGCCCTCTCCCGTTGCCCTGGACCACCTCACATTTCCAACAAGCCGCCTAGTTCCGCCAGCCTTGCGGGGTCAGTGATTGCACGAGCACCGCCTCACTCACACCCCTCCTGCCGCCCCCCACACTCCCCTCTTCTTGGCCAGGCGGCGACGCCGGCGACGAGCTGACTGGGCGCGTGGCGCGTGTCGAGGCGGAGCGCCTGGCCAAGGAGAGGGACGAGGCCGCGGCCGCCTACCAGCACGCGGCGTCCAAGGTTGGCGTCGACCCAGGTGCGATGGGACTGGAAGTGGCAGGGCGCGCTGTGCTCAAGTCGCCGGGCCGGTGTCCTGGGATGCGTGGTGTCTCACATGCAGTTCCTTGCGCAATGGCACCAGCCAAGGGCGGTTTTTCCAGGTGGGGTGTGTTCCATGTTGGGTGTCTCCCTCGTCAAAGCGTGCGGCTGTGCCGCGAGCGCCCGACCGTGCACCATGATTCAGCCGGGCGTCGTGCGCCACCCCGCCGCCTCGCCTGCTTGGTCCCTATGCTTCCGACAAAGCAGGCGCGGCGGCAGTGCTTGCACCACCCTCCCTCTGAATCTCCCCTCTGCTGCTTGCTGCTGATCCAAGTATCAGTATCACGGCGTCGCGCTATGCACATCCACTCACTTGCAAAATTTGACAACTTTGCGTTGCTCACTGCCATCACCGCCGCGCACGCCCCGCAGCCTCGGGCCCGCACCCCAGCCCTGACGCGCTGCTCCACGCCACCACCGCCACGGGCTCCCCCCTCATCCACTCGCCCCTCGAGCGGGGCGGCGGCGACCAGGGTGGGTGGGCGCCAGGAGGGGACAGCTGGGGGTGCTGCGCAGGGGCGACAGCCAGCAGGGCAGTGCAGGCCTGCATGTGCGGAGGGACAAGGGCTTCAGATTGGCTTGCTGTGCTTGGATGGGGCGCACGGGTGGGGAAACGGCGTCATGAGTTGAGCGTGGTGTGAAGTGAGATCTTGTCATACGCTTTTGGCAGCTTATACAAATCTGTTCGGCGCGAGGTCTGTCGCAAAGCCACAGAACAGGCGCGCACGCTACCGCCGCTGCGGTGTCGTCCCTGGGCTGTGCAGCACGTCAGTGCTGCGTCCCGCAAGCATCCTGTGTTGCCTGTGCGAGCCATCACCTTTCATTGTGTCCCTCGGATCTGCACTGGCTCTCTGACGCACTAACGAAAGCGTTGAAGTCAAATGCCACTTACAGACACAACTTTTGTAGTTGTGCCGGCACTCGTTATCGCGCCTGCCCCACCTTGCACTCTGATGCTCTCACTCCTCTTGCCAGAGCAGCACCCTCAGCATCACCACCCCCTTGGCACCCCACTCGACGCCGCCCCCCTCCCTTAAAAACGCACCCCCTCAAAGGCCGCCCCTTCGTCATATTCAGCCCCAAGGAGCCCGCAACCTCGGACGCCCCAACCTCGGGCTCGGACATCGACCTGTCAAAGGAGCCCCCCAGCCAGAGGGAGTCGGCGATGGCCGGCTATGGGGTGGGGGATCCCGACGCGCAGGCGGGCGGCGTGGCGCTCGGCAAGTCGGCTGCGCATGGATTGATGAGCACGCTCAAGGTGGGTTGGGTGGGGTGGGGTAGGGTCGGTGGGTTGCATGGCCGTTATCCTACTGAGTGCCGAGAGGCGATCCTTGAACATCTACTATGCTTAGATCCGGTCGATTACCGGTTCTCTGTTCCACCAGCAGCCGTGGTTTGCTGGATTTCCGTTTTTTGGTGACAGCATGGGGCCCTGCCTGCCACGGACGAGCCCACAGGCTAGAGTCGACCTGTCGGTCTGGCTCCAGCGCACTCGTTGGTGCGGCGTGCGTCGTCCCCCCTCCC